GGATGGTAATGGAGGGAGGGCTCTTCTTCTTGAAGCCTCCCAGGTACCTCATTTGACATGGAAACAGGGCACCTGGCTGCATCCATGTGATCAGGCACCCCATTTCCATGTCAAACATGGTGACTGAAGGGTCTTCTCAGTTGCATCAATGGTTGGTAGGGTAAGGAGCATTCGGGTGGCTCTCTGAACAACCCAGTTTTGCCATGGAATTTCTTAGAAACTCCATGCAAAACCAGGGGTATTTTACCCTGAGGTAAAAGCTCTTTACCCCAGGGTGAGACCAGATTCTACAGATCCATGTCCAAATGAGCGAGATCAGGCCCGATCCTGCCCTGGGGGGTGGGGGGGTGGCCTGTGTCCTCTAAACTAGATAATACAAGATGGGCGGGGGAACCAGGTCTTTTGTCAGTGCTGGAAACTCCCTTGATACCTCACAGCACATATTTCCTCCCCTCACATCTGCTCATTATTCAAGGAAGATAAACAATCTTTCCATCTAGCATCACTAATTGTGAAACATATCCCATTATCCTGTATTACCAAACATGTACAACTTATATGCCTAGCAAGCATGGCAGGAGTGATGATTCTGATAGATTGTCAATATGCAGTTTCTGATACCATAACATCATGGCCATGCTGGCCAAGGGATCTGGGATCTACAAATACTGCCTTTGGTATACACACAAAATGTTGATCATCCCTGTCTTACACAAAGAAATGGCTACAGTTATCCTGACAAATCACTGCCCTTAACTGCTGGGGGGGGGGGGGTATGCAAGTGTTTGGAAATGAAGACTTAAACTTTTCCAAAACAGATGATGACACATTTTGCCCAAATAAAAGATTTCAGATTTGGGTCTTTGGTGCTCTCATCAACACCATTCCCATAGATGCCAGTGGAGAGTTGGCAGAAAAAAAATCATCTTATTGAACTCCCTGGCTTTCTTTCATTATAACCGCCAGAACTGCTCCATCCTTTAAGAGACTTTAGGGAATCTTTTCTCCATTTTTCTGCTATTTCATTTTGACATTTTTTTTATTTTTTATTTTTTTATTATTTTTTTTGTAAACTGTTCTAGCCCTGGAATCTTTATAGATGTAAATTATCAATCGGTTGCTCACCAAGTTAATCTAAAAGGGAAGATAGATTTTTTAAAAATATATACACAAAAATTTCTGTGGTGATTTAAAAGCCTCTAAACCACACAGTAGTAGAACCAAACTTTCTCATTAAATAATAGGTTGGAATTTTTTTAAATTTTTTAATTATTGTACTGTAGCTAATGAAAAGGAAAAAGAAAGGAAAAACCATGCTCGAGTCCTAATTTTTTTTGTTGTTGTTATTAAACACTCTTTTAGACATTTAATTCACTTGTTTGGTCAAAGAATTTGATATATAGTAACAAGCCAGGCAACTGGATGGTTAATCGTATGAGAAAATTCCCATGAAAAACACTGTGTTTTAAAAGGCCTCTTCCTTTAAAGAGGGGATATATCAGTTGTCTTAAGACAGTTTTGACAAATTGTCAAAAGTGAATGGTGACTCCCCCCCCCCCCCCCCCGTCCCTTTGCAGGTGAAGCCCTGATTAGAAAAACGTCTTTCCCAACAGAACACTGTATCTAGAAAAAGAATGATATTTTAATTGCTTTCTTAAAATGTCATCTAAAAATAAATTATGGGCAATCAATTATATTTTTTTCTTCAGTAAAATGTTTTAAAGGGTGATAGGAAATCTGTTTTATCAGGATTTAGGTTTTTAAAAAGAGACCATTAACAATCACCTTGTTGGATCAAAATTGAAATCCATCCAGACCCGAATTCTCTCTTTCTCTCTCTCTCTCTCTCTCTCTCTCTCTCTCTCTCTCTAATTCAAATTTCAGTCTCAAAAGTGGTTAGCTGGATGCCCCTGGAACACTGCAAACAGAGCATTAATTTTTTAAAAAAACCACCACTCCCTAATATTTGTCCACTGTAACTGGTGCTCACTGGCATCTACTGCCTCTGAATATGGAGACACTATTAGCTTCAGCTTCATTCATTTATATACCGCTTCATATCATGCTATGGGATGTCTAAGCGGTTTACAACTGTGAGCATAACAGTTTGTTGTTGTTATGTGCCTTCAGGTTGACTGATTTATGGCAAACCTGTCCTAGGATTTTCTTAGCAAGATTTATGCAGAGAAGGTTTACAGTTGCTATCCTCTAAGGCTGAGAGTATGTGACATGCCCAAGGTCACCCAGTGGGTTTTCATGGCTAAGCAGGGATTTGAACCATTGTCTCCAGAGTCATAGTCCAGTGCTAAACCACTGCACCACACTGGCTCTTACACCTAAAGCAAACAGGCCAAATAAACTGGTTTCTGGCCACTTTGGGGGCATGGCATTTACATGGCATGTGCCCTCAAAGCGTCCGGAAACCACGCCATGCTAAGCAGAGAAAAGCTGGACTAAAAAAAACAACAACACAATAATCCAACCTAGCCTGGAAAATGTGCAACTTTGACACTGTATATAAATGCACTGGCACCTGAGCAGATCTAAAGGAGTAATTATCCTAACCCTAACCCTAAAGCTGCATACAAATACCCCAATGTAGGTGTGTATTTAAAAAGGACAAAGCTGCTGTACCCAAGTTGTCAGGATGGTAATGCAAAAAAGTAAAAGAATGACACTTCCAATGGATGTAATTATGCAAACCAGACAGTCCAAGAGGAGACATGGGTTGAAAGGGGCATGTGGGGGGGGTATGATTGTGCATTACCAGTGTTTTATTGGACAAACTGACACTCTGATGCCCTGTACTAGTGGAGGATGACAGATGCAACTGTGTGGATGATCAAAAGGGCAGCCATCCAATGGGATGGCATCTAGGCAACAGGAAGTCACCATCAGTGTATTGTTACCAGTAGTGCATTTTTCTGAATTTTGGTTTGTATGAATTCCACATGGCCCCAGATTGACTCTGCATCAAACTCCATGTGCTTCCATGGCAGAGCATAGAGGTCATGCCAAGGTCAATTGGAGAACTGGAAACAGAGCCAGGCAGACAGTGTGGGAGTTGCAAATGGGCTATTATCCCCTCCATAATCAGAAGGATGAGCAACAATGGCCGAGATGTCTCACCTGATGGGCAGACAACTCAATCCCCTCTCATTTCCCCTTGAATATTGCCGGGCCAGATTACCTCAGCTAGGCAATCTAACACCTTTGTCTAAACCTCAGCCAAACAATCTAAGTTATAGCTAAGCAATCTAGTGAACCTTAGCCAAACAATACAAACTATTGTTAAGCAATCAAACTTCTTTTGTCTAAGCTTTTAGCCAAACAATCAGGTACCTCTCCAGAGGCTAGATCAGGGGTAGGCAACCTTTTTGAGCCGGGGGCCGGTCCT